GTTTTGTTGATAGCTTGTTGTGTTTTTTATTTAAAGGCCGCAGCATTATCAGTAAAACTGTAGTTGATTTTACTGGTTTTGTTGGAATACTTTGTGCAGAGCTTGATTCGTGGAAGTGTTTCAGTAAGAGTTTGAAGAATATTTTCCTACGTTTGTTTTACGTTTTTGCTGTGCGGTGTGTAGAACCATATGACATTTCTCTTCCTTTTGGCATTTTTCTTCTCTGTGGTGAGTATGTGAGTGTTGCAGGGAATCCACTATCTTTTAATGTTGTTTCGTTGTCTTTTTTTAGCTTTGTTAAATATGGTTTCAATTGAAGAATTGTCAAAAAACCTGCAGTTAATTGATGTTTGTATCAGTTTGATTATAAATGGCGGGTGATTGGAAGATGTATGTATATACAATGATTTATCACTGGGTGTTCTGTGTGGTTTTCCTATTTTTACGTTGAAGGTAACATCTAGAAAATCGGTTTCGTTTAGGTTAATTTTTATGTCGATGTCGAATCCGTTATTTTTGAAAATCTTTATTATTGCGTTTCTAGTTTTGTCTGTGTTTTGTTTTTTCTTCGTCGTCCCTGTAGAGTCCTGTATCATTTCTATCTATTATTTTGCTGCGTTTTTGGTGGAAAAGCGATCAGAAATCATCTCAAAATTTTTACTACCTTACTTAAAAATCGAGAACCGAAAAGAATAAATAAAAATATATGAAATAAAAATAAGTTAGAAAAAACAAGTAAAATAAATTAAACAAAATAAATAATTAAACAAATTAACAAACCACTCACCTCAAAATAACCGTTAGAACTGACTGAAAAGAATAAATAAAAATAAAAAGTAAATAAGTAAAAACAAATAAAAATAATCAATCCAAATAAATAAATATAGTAAATAATAAACAAATTAACAAACCTCTCCCATGAAAACAACCGTTAGAATAGACTACAACAATCACCACAAAAATTGGACGAAAATAGTTTAAATTAGCTTCTCAGACCAAAACAAACTACTAAATAAACGATCATAACTCCTTTCAAAATGTCTACTACGTTACTAAAATTTGAAAACCGAAAAGTATAAATAAAAAATATAAAATAAAAATAATTCAAGTAAAATAAATTAATCCAAATAAATAAATAGAAAATAAAAAAATTAAAAGCCACTTACACCAAAAGAACTGTTAGAATAGACTACCCAGAATGTACCACTGGCCAGTATATATAAATAGTCGAAAAAATTCAACACAAGTGACCTGATGATTGCGATTATCATGAAAGAGTCTGTCGCCTCTTTGTTGACTTCAATGTTCACTTTATATTTACGCACGCTTTTCTTTGATATTGAGCACTTTATCCCTAAATATAGCACACCTTGAAACTATATTTATATATATATATATATATATATATATATATATATATATATATATATATATATATATCATCCTAACAGTATCAAGACGTCTTAAATCGTTACAGTTTTTGGGCATATGTACTAGAATTATTTATTTTGCATAAAAATACAAAATTGTGGCACAAGGCCGAAAAAGGGGAGAAGTAAAGGCTGGTCAACACTATCTTATACCTAGCTAATCTGATTCACGACCCATTCATACATTACAATTTGCCCATTCACCACAAGAACTCATTCGTCACCATTCAATCCTCCAACCACCATAATACCACATCCTCTCAAGGGGAAACTACAAAAACGCGCCCCATGCCATAAATTTGATGATAATAAACAATATACATAAAATTCTAATAATGAAGAATGAGAGGGGAGGGAGATGAACCCAATAACGAACTAAACAAAACAGTCTTAAATTTAATCGAAAAAAAATAAAGACCGGACTAGAGTCCAAGGTTTATAAATAAACACAATAACAGAACAAAATAAACAATATTTAAACAAAACACAAAACGAAATTAATAAGCTAGGCTTAAACAGAAAAAGAATTTAAAAAGGAGGATGGGGAAAAACAAAAGAAAATGCCGTAAAGTTGTCAACAAAGAAAAAAAAACAGAAAATCAAATGCAAACAGGCCTCAAAAATAAATCAGAATATAACAAAACACTTAGCTTAGGATTCCTAGTTTGCTGAACAAATAATCATACCTTTGGGCATATGTACTAATGAGCCAATCAAAATGTGCTGTCTCATTTTATAGTTCACCAATAGAAGGGTTAACCAATCAGAAAGCTCAAAATATTCAATCCGACGTGTATAAAGGCAGCCATTTTTTTTCTCCCAAAATATCTCCACTGCCAACCTGATATCGAAGACTTAAAGAATTACTTAACAGCCGCTACTTTCTCCGAATCTACATTGACAACCTCTGATATTGAAGAGATTACAGACTTCACTGGATTCCATATTCAGAGACTACAGCAAACATGGTCAACATAATCTCCATTTATTGGATGCAATTTCCATCGCACTGCATTTAAATACACATTCATGTCCACCTTCAAAATAAACGAAAATAATTGTTGACAACACAAATGTATTACACTATGAAAATAATAAACACAAACTTCAAATTTTCCAGGCTTTGTATATCAAAACAACCAACCAACATTGATTGTTTTAAAATACATTTGAGTTGACTAACATTTAACATCATTTTGAAATTTGCCATTTTGTAATTTTCCCATCTCTGGTTATGACACTCGGACTGGGAACGCTGGTTTACAAAACATCGAAACGTCTAACTTTTTAATAATTATAGTATATTACAATTATATTAAATTTGTCTTTTCCGCTGGACATGACAAGTAAAAGAGAGAAAAATGATTTTCACGTTGCATATCCGTCTCTGGATTTTGTCGAGGACCATAAAGCGAACAGCGGTGGCACCAGACTATATGTGGCAGCATATTTCGTGCGAGGATGAATGGTTGACATACATTTGAAGGATGGACTCGGGCAAGAAAAAGATTCTGGCGAGGGAACCAAATATCCTTGCGGTGGATAAAGCTATTGATTCAATGTATTTGTTCAATCTCAGCTCAGCAGATAGTGTGAGACCAAGCAGTCGCAAAGAGGTGCTCTCGTGGGGATGAGCATTAGACATTTTAATGGGAGGCAGGCATAGTTCCCTGTAGTGAGTAATAGAGAGCAGTTTTGTTTTTAAAGCTTTAAAGTTAACCAGCCAATTCCTGCCCCAGTCTACAACCGATTGGAGGTCCTTTACGAGACTAACGGCCAGATTAGTTTTGTCAAAGATACCAGATTTGCTTTTGAGGCAGGAGTAGTAGTGTCGTCTTCATAGATGCCTACTTGGGAAGTGATGATATCGGGAAGATCTTTAATGAAGATCAGGAAAAGAATAGGGCCCAGAATAGAGTCCATGGGAACACCTGCGTTCGTGGGAAAGCAACTGGTGGAGAATCCATTGAGGACGTCTTCATTGCACGGTTTGTCAGGAATTATGGTATTAAGTCAAATACTCAACCTGGAATTCCGTATCTCTGAAGCTTACAAAGCACGGCGGCATACCAAACCCTATCAAACGCTTTAGAGAAATCTAGAGCCACGGCATGAGCTTCTCCGTTATTGTGACAATTTGCTTTTGAATACACCACAGTCTTGGCAGGATGGAGAGCGATAGAGGAAGAAAAGGTAGCTTACAGGAGAGATAGACTGCGACAAAAGTATGAGTCGTCTGGAGATTCGAGAGAGTGCTCTCTAGACAGTGGAAGATGATCCTTGGCGTAAACTCCAGGTCCGTGCATGTGGATTTGAGGGTCTTTTCTAAGGAAAGAAAGGTAACCGGGGATCGAGAGGTCAGAAGAGGGGATAGACGAGTCGAGGTTGATCTCGTAGAGAGCCAGTATATCGGGAGACTTTTCAATGAGGAACGATTGCACACTACAGAAGTTGATTCGAATGGCACGGATGTTAGAAAAGGAAATGTTGAAGGGTTTAGGTGATTTTTTTAAGAACTCGTTTAGGTTTACTCTTTTGATCGTTATTTTTCATATTGGGTAATTTTGGTAGTGAAAATGAAAAGGCCTGAAGTAGAAGTAGCAGACGGTCATCGTCTGTGACGTGGGCAGAAAAAAGCTTGCGCAGTTCACAACATAATGTGGCCTCAGGGTTGCCCACCGGAGGTGAATGCAAGGACACCCTTCCATGCGTGACATGGCACAACAGGCACCCCGTTATTATACAACTGTTGATCAGTGTGGTCACTCAAGACGATACGCAAGAGTTAAGGCTCTTAATTTCCAGCCGAGAACAGGAACCAGAAAACTGCACACATCTCTGGAGAATCACGGCAGTACTAGTACGGAGGCCAGAGATAGGAGAGGATGAGTTCCTAAACAGGGAAATAAGAAAAACAAGGAAACGAGAGGTGAACCTCTACACTTGTTCAAGATAATTCCATTGTGGGAACACTATTAATAAAGCATTGTGGAAGGAAATGGCACGTCGTCTCATTTTTTTATTACGCACGATTTACTATTTTTGAAAGCCTAACAGACACAAGTTGAAAAACGAAAAAAAGAAAAAAAAGAAAAGCAGGTTACGGAGCTTTTTATCGATTTTTGAAAGTGGTGCAAGCTTTTTAGCGACCGTCAGGGAGACTTCCTCCACCCTTTGATAGGTCTCGTTTTTAGTGATAAAGAGCCAGCTAACTCAAGATATTTGCGACAGGAATACGTTAAAAGGGGTGGGGAAGAAATGATTTTTCGCGATGATGTGTTCCTTTATTCACCCTCAGAAAAAGCTGAAAATGTGGCCTACACTTCCTCCGCCAGTCCTCAGCAAACTCCATTCCATTTTTCCTTTCCATTTTTGGCATTGCAATGCCCACAGACAACTGACATGGATATTATTTGGAGGTTTTGCGACCGGAAAGCCTCAAAACTGGCTCATAGTTGAACGCCACCTTAAACCAAAACTGCTTTGGTGGGCTACAGAGCCCTCGCTGTGCATGGCGGCGCTGGTGAACAATCCACACCATTTCAAACTCCTTTTCATTTAGTCCTTTACAGCTCTAGCAGCGGAAGTTGAAATTGCATCGCGTTCTTGCCTTGTGCGCTTTGCTGCGTTACGTGCGGTTTTCAGCCGTGATCTCCTCGGACCGTCAGCAAAAATTGCAGCAGCGTCGGCTGCATTGCGAGAAGCTTTTTCGATGCGGGCTCTGTCGAGACCGTAAAAACCGCGCTTGTGATGAAGCCGCTTTTTTGTTGTCTTGCAAGCGTTTAGGTAGTTTCCTCTTACTTTTCAACGAATATGTGTAAACTGATTTGCAGTACAAACGGTAGTTACGCTCACGAAGCATTTAATGTGACAAAACATACTGCCTCCGTTGAGATTGATTGGAAAGCCTCAGAGAGGCCTCTACCTCGTGTTCCTCCTCCCGCTTTCTCTTTGCCACAGAGGCTCTTTTAGAACGCCTGCTAATGTTGCCTCGCCATGGTATTTTGGCACGCTTAGCAAAGCTGCCGGGGCGGTCACGGCACTCAGAAGAGTGTAAAGCAGAGGTTGAAGTAGACGCCAGCCACTTCTCCCCCCCCAGGCGCAGTCAACGGGAATCCTGCTCCCGTTTCCCCTTAGCCGTTGAGGCTTTTTGGGAAGCACCTGCTAAGGTTGCCTCGCCTGGGTGTTTTTGAAGTCTTTGCAGAGCTGCCGGATTGGTCATCGCCACAGCACGCAAAGAGTGCGAAACAGAGTTGAAGTAGACGCTATAATATCATCTGTAACCGGGTTATTATGTGCCCTCCGCAGTCGTCTTGATAATGTATGTAACGTTAACGGTATTAGGGGTCTTCAGTTGCTGACGTGCGGATGTTCGTGTAGGAGTCATTTGAAGGGTTGTAGAAATGCTGTGTAAGAATGCGAATGAAAGTTGATGCCGAAGCTGAAGCGGTGCAACCTCGTTGTATACGAAAACTAAAAATGCAGTGGGGCAGTATGGAAAAAGATTCTCCTAACTATGGGCCGTGCTTTCTGGCAGCACGAAAACGTCGCTGTAGGAAGAGGTTACGCAACCAAAACGTTGAAGCGTTGGAGGTTAAAAAGTAGTGAAACACTGAGGTCTACTGGGCCGCGTAGTAAAGGCAGAAGAGAAGAAACTTGCGACAGCAGTTAACTGTCTAATAGCAAAACTGAACTACGAAAAGGTAGAAACGGGTATGGAACGCTAAGCTGGACTGGGCTGCGCAGTAAAGGTAGCACGCGGAGATAAAATGGGTAATACAAACGATTAAGGAAATAGATAACTGTCAATTAATCCAAGGCGTTAATCGCGATCAAATCAAGCTGTAGATATTTAAAGGGAGCGTGACTTGTCATTGATTGGTGTAGCCTGGACATTGGCCATGATTTAGACCAATGAATGAGCTCACGCAAAATGGAAAATGCTAGCGCGCATTCATGCACGCGCACATGATTTGGCAAGCGCAAGGCTTGGCCGTAAACGTGGTCAAGCTGCCTGCTGCATATGCAGCTTGGCTCTAACGTACGTGATGCCGGCATTGAGAATGCAAGGAGCTGCAATGAAGCCTTTGCTCGTTTGGTTTGTGCGACAACGAAAAGCCGCTAACCGTTTGCTTTGAAATGAATTGGGAGGAAACCCTGCTGTTTTAGCGCAAAAACTACTCGTCAGAGCTGGGATGCGGCCTGGGCTAGGGGAAAAGGTTTAAAGAATTTGAAAATGGACTGCTGAGAGCGGAACCATTTTCACCCAGCACGTATGCGGTTTTTTTTTTGTTTTTTTTTTTTTCAGTAAAGACGCGGATGAAGGGAGTGCTTATTTTGGTAAGATGCGACGATTAAAGCAAAAGTCGAATATGTCTTTTGTGCCTCAAAGTCAGAGCTGATAGCAGGGATAAAAAAAGCCGAATTTCAACGGCCCTGCACCCATTCCAGAATTTGAGGTCAAATGTTTTCTTCCACTCCACTGCACGCATTGACCTGTTTCTTCCCGCGCATAGCGTGACCTTAAATTAATCTGCATTTAAGAAATACCCAAACGGAAAAACATTTAAGAATTGATCGATCGTCGATTTGCACTCAGTTTGGGGGGCGCTCAGAGTTGAAACTTCACATGCTGACTCCCAATGGCCTCCTCATATATCCGGTCGGTTTTCGCTAAAAATCGACATGCGGTTCAGGCGCAATCTGGGCGTATCGGTTTGGGGGTTTAATCGATTTTCCGTGCTGTTTAGGGGTCCGTGGTCGTGAAACTTCTGGACAAGACTCTAAGAGGGTGTCAAATTTGGTTGAAATGCGATCATTCCTTCTGTAAGCAGATTTTTTCGATTATCGATTTTTTCGGAACTTGAGTCCGAACTCCAAAATCGGGCTCCGTCATGTCCTTACGGCAGCCATTTGCAAACTTGTGTTGAAAACCGCATCGAAATCGGGTGAGAAAGCGGCCTGGGCGAGGTAACAACGCCCACGACAGACACACAAACAGACAATATGAGATAGATAGATAGATAGATAGATAGATAGATAGATATACATACATACATATACGCGCGTTTGCTTATGTGTGATATATAGGATCCCGTTATAACACTCCATTATTCTTAACAATATCTATTAAATTTTCATTTTCAATGAAAAAGCTTATGCAAGTCGTACAGTCATAAACTGGTCTATACTGAGTAGAAATTGAGAATTTTAGGTAAGTACAGACATCATTTTTTAATATATCAATTTCTCCGAATCTAATGCCCGTATGATTCCAGTTTTTTATATGTTAATAATCACAGAAAAGTGAATAACAAAATCACTTTTCAGAACAATATATTGAATACAACAAATTTGACAGTCGAATTATGCAAAATAAAAAAAAAAACTGTTCGTACAGTAAATTGATTGATTCGTGTAAGCGTAAGTAATTTCCATAATTATTTTATCACTGAAGCCTTCTAGACTATTTATTCAGTTGAATATTTGTAATAATTCTAGCAAAGTATGTTACGTGGTGCATAGAGTGTCGCCATTTTTATTATTACGTTAACAACACGATGAGGAAGACAAAGGAGCTTACCGCTGACTTGAGACAGAGAATTATTAACTTCTACATGTCGGGAAATAGTTACAGCTCTATTTCAAACCGGTTAGCTATCCCTAGGTCTATGGCACAGTCAGTTATAAAGAAGTTTAAGCAGTTTGGCACGACAGAGAATTTGATTAGGCTTGAAAGAAAACCAAAATTATCACCGAAAACTGCACGAAAACTGCGTCGCGAGGCTAATGTAAACCCAAGAGTTGTTTTGAAAGACATCGCCAAAAGTTTGGATACGATGGGTATCAGCTCGCACAATACAATGTTGTTTAAATTGAGTTGTATGGAAACCGACCATGACGAACCTCTGTACACAAACCATGTCACATTGCTGCTCAATATATTTTGTAAAAACCTCTTGGGACAAAGAAAATTACTTTTGGGAACATGTACTATAGAATGATGAAACAAAAATTGAGCTTTTTGGACATAATGATATACACAATATTTGGAGTAAAAAAAGGTGATTCTTTCCTTCCAATGAACACAGTGGCAACATTAAAACATGGAGACGTCTCTATCATGTTTTGGGGGTTTTTTTAGGTCAAGGGGGACTGGACTATTAATTGCGACAAGAGGAATAATGAAATTTGAAGACTATATTCTAAATTCTGGAAGAAAATCTACAGCTATCAGCGAAAAATCTTCATCTATCAAGATAATGATCCCCAAAATACGTCTAAATGAGTGACTGCGTAACTTCGGAAAACGAGGATTGCATTTCTTCTATGACATTCAATGAGTCACAGCTTGAATCCTATTGAAAATCTACGGCGGAGATTGAATAACCAAAGACTTTCAGGAATTAAAACGTGTAACCATTGAAGTATGAATGAAAAAGACTTGTTCAAATCTTATCAAAAACATTAAAAAACGATTGCAGCAAGTTATAAAGACGAGAGGCCATGGATTTGACTATTAATATTGTGGAAATTGTTCAATTTTTCCATTTTTCATAATGTACGAATATTTTTGACTTTTCCTATTTTGCATAATTCACCTGTCAAATTTGTTTTATTTAACCTTTTCTGAAAATTATGTTTTATATTTTTTTTGTGCTTATTAACATACCCAGAACTTGGCATCACACGGGCATTAGATTTTGAGAAACGGATAAAAATATTCAAAATTAATGGGTTACAAATAATTTCGTCGTTGAATGTGTGTATTAAAGTTTACTTATACTGTTGTAGAATTCTTTAAATTCGTAAGATGTTTTCGCTGAAGGTATGTATATTTCGTCTCTCTATTATTCTTTTTCTTTTCATATATTGTCTGATAACACATAAAGAGACGTACGCATTCACCTTCTTTGTCCCTGTGGGTGGTGAAATTTTCTCGATCTGACACACTTCTCCACATTTGACAAAATGACCAATTATTAGAATGTTAACCCATTTCTTTTCAGTATCAAGTCTTACTATATTAGCCTTGATTTAAGTGGTGCTCAATATTTCTGTTGTTTACTTTCGCTTTCTCACTAAATTCCTCGGATTACTCAAACCCTCAAAATAAAACGGTTCCATTTTTCTCAGATAGTAAAATTCAAATTTTCATACGATCGAATTTTATGCTGATCATTTCTTTAGAAAATCCACTTATAGTTGAGATTTTACAGTATGTATATATGCATATCTATCTATCTATATATCCCCGTCGCTTTTTTTTTCCTATCTCTCTCTCTCTCTCTCTCTATATATATATATATATATATATATATATATATATATTCTATTTAGTGATTTGTCTTCTTTGATCTTTTTCTTCACATTTAATCTCTCATATTTTCCCTTTCTTTAGCATAGATCTAAAGCTTCATTAGTCAAATATATCTTCCCTTACTTACCTGCTTCCTCGCCTTTAAGTCATTTCGTCCTGCCTAAAAACCGTTTCCGGTTATCGATGTAATTAATATCTGACATCTTTGGGGCTGCCTCAAGGCTATGTGTTCATAAGAGGAATTGGAAGTAGACGTATAAAGCTGCCTTTACGAAATATATGATGAAACATTTTGGTACCAATCTTGATTTCTTTTATAGAATCTCCTTAAGCGTGGTGTTTGATCTTTCCAAATAAAAATCAGAAGATGATTGTTACACACATTCCTAATTTCTTTAATGTATTTCAAATGCACAAATTAACATTAAAATATATCACGTGTAACATAATAAAAATTAAGCCAACCTTCAACAGTTAAAAATAATAAATAATATTAAATTCGATAATCTCTAATGAGAAATTTCAATTTGTATTTGAAAATGTTTAATCGTTCAAAATATCATATCAGAGAGTTTCGCCTTTAAGTAGGAAGTTATCCTAACACATCATTCCGAATATTCCGAAGTCCATCAGCATCAGAATTATCTACAAAGTATACAATTACTGGTAGCTCCGAACTTTCATTTAGCAAACAACCTCATTAGGAAGTTATAATTAGCAAGTGTATTTTGCAGGGTATATTTCTGCTGTAATTTCCATATCCCATAAGAAAAAAAAATGAACTACTTGCTGTAGAACATTATTTCTGACATGTCGTTATATAGGTAGTCAGCTCGTTATACATATGTCGTTATATATCAGTAGTCAGCTCGGCTTACATTGTATGTTCTATACATTCAGCTTCGGGGCGGACTAAGGAAGGATTATTCGGTTTGAAGTAGTGACAAGCGGGGTTAACGCACAAATCGAGTCGATCCTTGAGATTACTTGATAATTGTAGCCTTCAGACATACTTAGTCAACAATTCTCATAAAATTACAGTATCACGAAAAAGATTGTCCCAAATGATTGGGGGGAGATCGATTCTCAAGTAAATTTCTATACTTCTGACCAGTATAATATATATATATATATTATAAAAAATTTTAAAAAACCGGGCTTCAACATTACGGTCTCATCAGGTGGTTAATGATAAATAATTAATTTGTAGCGCTATTCAAGTGCGCTTATATAAATAAACTAAGCGCCACAAAGTAGAAATATCAGAAGGGGAGGGGAGACGAAAGAGTTGGAAGAACCGGAAGAAAGAGTAAGAAAAAAAAAAATCGTAAAGTTAATCATCCAGGTTCACACTGGGCTAGAGTATTTTTTTATTGGAGTGTCTACATTTTGACATTACCTCAAATCGTTGATTCAACAAGTTGATTCTGTCCGCGTATGTCACTATAGCCCGCTTTTAGTTAATATATATATATATAAATATAATATATATATATATATATATATATATATATATATATATATATATATATATATATATATATATTCCAGGATCATTTTCCAACTTATTTAACATTATCTCCGCCTTTCCTCAACATCTAAATATTTGTCCTGGATCAACATGCTGCCTCAAAGGTTTGGAGTTCGATTTTATCTTCAAGTCTTTTTTTCACTGGTCTCTAGATTGTCATGGATGAACCTTCTCTCTCCCGTACCAAACGTCTTATCGATTGACATCTTTTCTAATTGATCTCTTTATTTCTAAGTTGAAATGATGATCCTTCTTGCTGTTCTGAACTCCTGATCCTGTTTTCGTCTCTACTTATTCACCGTTCTCTTGATGGTTCTTGAATTAAATTTGAAGTTGGAAAACACAGTATGAACGTTGGTATCATTACCGAAGTCCTGAATGACCCTTTCACTCGCATGATTGTTCAGTTTGGAAGTTAATGCGGCTGACACAAAACAATTTTAACTTATTCTCTTTCTAGTTAAATAACTCAAAGGATTTTTCAGTAATTCATACGACAAATTGTGACAAATCTGAACACTTGCAAAAAAGGAAACTCAGTTCAGTGTTTTCTTTATATATTAAACATTTTTTGAGATGGACAATTTTGCTCTTTCACGGTTTGGACAATTTTGCTGTTACATCCGTTTATATAAACAATTAATGGATACATTTATCATTTATTATTTATTATTTCTGTAAATGTTTGAGTAGACGTCGCTGTTTATTTAGAAGCAGTGCAATTAATGTCTGTCAGGCTGAATCATCGAAAGTGGAATTTCATCGTGGCAGGGCTCGAACATTCTCTGAGAAACCACACTTTAGACAGTGTGACCTATTTTGTGTCTGGTACCTCATTTACTCTCAATTACTCTTTTTATATGGTGTATACATATCGTCGGGATTTTCAGTGTCTATATCACCTTAATTATAGTGCCCTACCCAAAATGTACGCATGTAATTAAACCAATTCATAGACTTTTCAGTTGACATTTTGCTTATTATTATAAACATTTTCTCTATAAACATGTTTGAGAATATATTCAGGTTTAATTACAGATAAATTAAGGTATACCTACCTAGAATATGAAAAGTCTTATCAAAGAAAATTTAATTCTCTTTTCTCAAAATGGAATATTTTTACGAAGACGTTCGAGGATCGAAGCCGTTCCATGGTAATTGCACTGGAATGAGACACAGGCATGCCTCGTCAAACTAAAATAACATTCATAGTAATAAGTA